CAGCATAAGGTATATTCAAGAATTGATTGATTTTGTGATTCACAACATTCAGTGTCTGTCCCCTCACTCCACCCGAACTCGTATTCACGACAACACTATTACTCTCATCGCAAACACACCGAACAATTAAACACACGATTAATACAAAACACAATTTATTTGTAAAAATCATCTTTAAAACATTAATTTCAAAATCAATTTACAAAACGCTACAATAAATATCACTAACTTTATAGAGTATAACACTTTTATACAGTATTCAATATTGTCAAACTTAATGCACTAAAAAAACAAACCCTTGAAACTTTATTACACAACACAATACACATCACCATAACTGATAACATAATGTCTGGGTATTTAGTATAACCTTAGTGCAGTGCACTTAACGTGTGGACTAAGGAAGGTCATTTAAATAGTGAGTTGTAAAATAACCCAAATATTTAAATACAATGTAATGTTTTATTAAAATTATTTAATAAATCATGCTTGTCTTATTGATTGATTTCTAATATATAATTTAATAATTGTATATAATTTAATAATGTAATAAACAATTAATAATTTAAACATATTATAGTAATAGAATAATGAACTTTTAATTAAATTTAATTAATAATGAGTGATTTTAATTATTAAATTATTAAAATAAATATTATTTGTAATATTAAAAGTATTTATGAAGATTTAATTAAATATACCTTATAATCATACAAAAATACATAACCGTTTTCAGAATAAAACGCCCCATGTGTATCAATTAAAAGTTATTTAATATATTTATTTAATGTTTTATTTGATTTCATACTTTAAATTAAATTTATTTATTAACTCTGAGCTGTGCTTTATAATGAATGTGTAAATTGTACCTAATTTTAGAAAGATAGACAATTGAGTTTATATATCGCGAGCTCATAGGGCACCCTGTATGGCGTCAAAAGTAATATACAACAATTACGTCTCTATTAACCTTTACTCGTCTATAAGAGAAATTGGGATATAAGAGAATAATAGGTGTTGCACCACAATTCTTTTATAAGCGGGTCATGTTGTATACAACTTATGTAGAGCTGCAAGAAACCAAACTCTTGTTTTCATTCGATACAGTATATAAAGTATTAAACAAAAAATGGATAATTTTACATTTCAATTCTGTTAAAAAAGATAAATATACTCTAGTTGTAAATATGTTTATTTGTATTTAAGGCTTAAACATAACGAAATAAATTATTTTTAATATTAAATTCTCCAAACTAATTAAATTATTAAATAAATTAGAATTAAATTTCTGGACATTAATATTTCTCTATTTTTGTTTAATAAAATAATTTTTAAACATTATATTAAATAATTAAAAATATTGACTCCAAATGCCATCACAAGTACTTCCGTAAGGATTGTCCAAAACAAGTGACATATCGTTGGGATTCAAGTCTTTCACTTTTGGCACTGAATTCGCGTCCGAAATGTCTATTAGTTTCGGCCAAACATTGTGTGGTTTCCTATAGATTTAATATAAAGCATTATACATTATTACATTATTTAATTTAATTTTATATTTAATTATAAAATACAATAATAATAAATACCTATTTTTAGCAAAATCTGTCCATATATTCATTATTTCTATACTGAAATCGTAATCAGTTTCTGTGAAATCATCATGATGTATTAAAGGTTGTCCCAACACAAAAGGTGCATCAGCGCCGTGGCATATGGTATGACCACTGCATAAACCGTTACTCATCTCTGTAAGTTGATTGCTCTGGTAAGTAAATCTGAAAAAGTAAACATTTTTTCCACTTTTGGCAAATTGTTTGGCGAAGTGATAGGTGGGGCACGTCATCACCATATCTCCGTACAGTGCGATCAATGCACCCCTCAATTGGGACTCATTTGTTGTGTCAATATTTTTGAGATAATAATCGGACACTTCCTCCTCATCGATATTATGGTATTCAACGTTCAAACGATTAACAGCTTTCTTGAAAGACTCGACTGTCAAATGGGCCCTCATTTCCGGGATTACCATCACTGCCAACATCGGTCCCTCATCTTTGGTGACACCCGCTATCAACTCAATGTCTAACGTATGATTAGAATTGAATTTTCAGTATATTATTAAGTATAATATAATAATTATTATTAACAATTAAAGTAAATATTTACCAGAATTATATAAATTATTTTCAAATGCTTTTTGTGGTAAAACGGGTAGAAATTCAGTACCAAATACGAGATGAGTTAATCCAATGCCTTCTATGAAAAGGTTTGGGTCCTCAATGGCTCGCAAACAGTCCAACCATTTGTAGTCATATTCATCACAATTAAGTCTTTTCGCCAAATCCTTAGCCTTTTGGAGGCCCTCAACAGTACTGAGAGCCGGTCTGTCCTTATTATACAAAACGGATCCGCTCTCCATAACAGCCCTTTTAAACAGTCCCTTAGATAACGGCGACAATACATGTGCCGATACGGACCAACTACCGGCGCTTATACCAAAAATAGTAATCTCATCCTTATCCCCACCAAATAAATGAATATTATCTCGGACCTATTTTTATTTAATAAAATAAAATAAATAAATAATGAATAATAAACATATTTTCTTTCATCAGAATTCATACCCATTTAAGACCCAACAACTGGTCATATAATCCCAAATTTCCAGGACTGGTCTCATCGCCACCGTATAGGAAACCTAAGGGTCCGACCCTATAGTTGACCGAAACAACGACCACATCATTAGTGGCCAAAGCACTGGCGTTATTCATCTTTTGAAATACTGAGCCCACACTCAGTCCCCCGCCGTATATGAAAAACATGACGGCTTTTAATGGACTCTTATTCTCCACATTAGGTGTCCATACGTTTAGTACCAAACAGTCCTCACTTGTAGTAATTTCACCCATCACCTTTTCCCAGCCTTCCATCACAGGCTGTATACATGAGTTTCCGGGTAACGTACCATCAATTATATCCTAAAGTTATTTTACGATTTATGTAAATCTATACAATTTACAGTATATACTCTTAATACTTAAACTAAATTAATTTTAGGCATAATTTATTTAATAAATTTTGGTTTAATTTAAATTATAGTACAGTATCACTTATAAAATAATATAAAAATGATTACCTGTTTAGGGGTTTTGAGGGGTTGTGGTGGACTGAACCTGAGTGGGCCCACCGGGGGCTCAGCATAAGGTATATTCAAGAATTGATTGATTTTGTGATTCACAACATTCAGTGTCTGTCCCCTCACTCCACCCGAACTCGTATTCACGACAACACTATTACTCTCATCGCAAACACACCGAACAATGCACACCACTATTACACTCACTATTAATACAACATTTAATTTATTAAAAGTTAGCATTTTTATACAAAAAGCTAATCTATATAACTTTACAAAAAATTGTTCTTACAAACTTAACAGTAAATTGAAAATAGTACTTTATATTGATTTTATAGTTTAGTATTTACAACAAAATTACTGTCTGTCTGATGCACTAATATATTAGAATTTATTTATTATAATCATAAGAATAATATCACTGGTAGTACTCGTACGGAATGCACTAGGCAGTACTTGCACTTATAATAATGCAAGGTCATTTAAGTTTTGAACAGATCATAAACACTGCAACTATTTTAATAAACTATTTTATGTTTACTGTATAATTGCTAATGTTTGTGCTTATTCATTATTTTTAATATTTATATATAATTATAAATATTGTGAAAGTAAATTAATATTAATTTAGCATTAAATATCAAAATATATAATTATTAATTCTGATTATTAATCAGTGATTAGCATGAAATTCAAATAAAAAGGGAGTAAATTTTGTTAATTTTGATGATTAAACTATTGTCAAAATGAANAAAGTAAATTAATATTAATTTAGCATTAAATATCAAAATATATAATTATTAATTCTGATTATTAATCAGTGATTAGCATGAAATTCAAATAAAAAGGGAGTAAATTTTGTTAATTTTGATGATTAAACTATTGTCAAAATGAATTTCATTAAAAATATTGACTCCAAATGCCATCACAAGTACTTCCGTAAGGATTATCCAAAACAAGTGACATATCGTTGGGATTCAAGTCTTTCACTTTTGGCACTGAATTCGCGTCCGAAATGTCTATTAGTTTCGGCCAAACATTGTGTGAATGCCATCACAAGTACTTCCGTAAGGATTATCCAAAACAAGTGACATATCGTTGGGATTCAAGTCTTTCACTTTTGGCACTGAATTCGCGTCCGAAATGTCTATTAGTTTCGGCCAAACATTGTGTGCTTTTCTATTAATAGAAATATAAAAATATTTAATTAATAATCATTTTCAGGTCTATTTATTATTCAAATTTAAAATTAAGGCATAACTTATGAATACCTATTTTTGGCAAAATCTGTCCATATCTTCATTATTTCAATACTGAAGTCATAATCAGTTTCCGTAAACATTTGCTCATTTATGAGAGGAAGTCCAAACACAAAAGAGCTGTCCGCCCCGTGACATACAGTATCGCCGGTGCAAACACCTAGATCCATTATATTAAATGCACTACTCTGGTAATTAAATCTATAAAAATAGACATTTTGTCCACTTTTGGCAAATTGTTTGGCGAAATGATAGGTCGAACACGTGAGCAATAGATCGCCGTACAGTGCACTCAACGCACCCCTCAATTGGGACTCATTTGTTGTGTCAATACTTTTGAGATAATAATCGGACACTTCCTCCACATCTATATTATGGTATTCAACGTTCAAACCATTAACAGCTTTCTTGAACGACTCGACTGTCAAATGGGCCCTCATTTCCGGGATTAGCATCACTGCCAACATCGGTCCCTCATCTTTGGTGACACCCGCTATCAACTCAATGTCTATAGTAATCGATAAATAAAATCAATTTATTAATTTTCTTAAAAAATGGGATCTATATTTCAAGAGTATTATAACGGGAGTGTTTTGGCCACCAATGATGTGGTCATTGTTTCCGTTAACTATAGACTCGGACCCTTAGGTTTCCTATACGGTGGCGATGATACCAGTCCTGGAAATGTGGGCTTTTATGACCAGTTGTTAGGACTTAAATGGGTATTATTTTTTATGAATTTGAAGTTTAATTTTGTTTAAAAATTTTTACATAAAATTAAATACAGGTTCGAGAAAATATACATTTGTTTGGTGGAGATAAGGATGAAATTACTATATTTGGTTGCAGTGGCGGCAGTTGGGCCGTATCGGCACACATATTGTCTCCCCTATCAAAGGGTCTGTTTAAGAGGGCTATTATGGAGAGCGGATCCGTTTTGTATAATAAGGACAGACCGGCGCTCAGTACTGTTGAGGGCCTCCAAAGGGCTAAGAATTTGGCGAAACAACTAAATTGTGATGAATATGACTTCAAATGGTTGGACTGTTTGCGAGCCATTGATGACCCAAACCTTTTCATAGAATATCCCAAAAATGGAAATATGATTGAATTCACTCACGCAGTGTTTGGCACTCAATTCCTACCCGTTTTACCACAAAAAGCTTTTAATACGAATTTATTTAATTTTGGCAATTTAAATTTTTATTTTTATTTTTATTATTATTATTATTGTTTAACAATGAAATGATTTCATTTAGAAATTGAATTACTGGTCGGAGTTACTAAAGATGAGGGACCAATGTTAGCAATGAGTCTTTTTCCCGAAATGAGAGCACCGGGACTAACAGTCGAGACATTCAAAAATATTGTGAACAAATTGAACGATGAATACCGTAATATAGATATAGAGGAAGTGTCCGATTTTTATCTCAAAAGTATTGACACAACAAATGAATCCCAATTGAAGGGAGCGTTTAATGCACTCTATGGGGATCTGGTGTTCACGTGTGCGACCTATCACTTCGCCAAACAATTTGCCAAAAGTGGACAAAATGTCTATTTTTATAGATTTAATCACCCGAATAATTTCTATGCAAACTTGGGAATTACTGTATGTTCAGGTGATGTCATATGTCACGGCTCAGACATCCCTTATGTGTTTGGTTCACCACTTGTTTCCCAAAATATGTTCACAGAAACTGATTATGATTTCAGTATTGAGATCATGAAGATGTTAACAGATTTTGCCAAAAATGGGTCAGAATTGTTAAATGAAACACTTTATTCAATATAAATATAAAAATTAGTTTTAAGTTTTTAATTACAAATAATTTATTCATGATTTTGTCACATATAGAAAACCACACAATGTTTGGCCGAAACTGATAGACATTTCGGACGCGAATTCAGTGCCAAAAGTGAAAGACTTGATAGGGTTGCTATACAGTGAACAAAACCTGTTAGGAATGCCTTCATGAACACTACCGTAAACCTCAGTTTATTTTTAATTATTTAATATAATGTAATTTAAAAATTATTTTATTAAATCAAAATAGCGAAATTTTAATTTTGAATTTAATTCTAATTTACTTAATAATTTAATTACGATAGCTTGGAAAATTTAATATTAAAATTAATCTATTTCATTATGATTATACTTATTTATTTAATATATGTTTATTTTAAATTCTTTATTCTAATTTCTGTGGTAAAAGTGTTGTATTATTGTATTAAACTGTAGTATTGTAAATTACAATCTTATTGAACAAAAGTGAAATGTAAAAATTTTAAATACTGTTTAACCTATACTTAATGAGAACAAGAGTTTGTTATTTTGGAGCTTTATATAAGCTATAATTTTTAAAAATAATTTACCTAATTTCCAAATAAATATTATGTTATTATGTAGCCGCCAGTAGTTTTAAATTTAATAAACGAGTGTGTTATAATTGGTTCTTATAATAAATATAACTATTGCACCCTGTTATCAACAAATGCATGGCTTAATTGTTTGTACTGAAGTGTACTTATGACATTGAAACATTTGTATGCTGAACAAGAACCACCCAAGAAAGTTCAGCGTACCAGTTAAAATGTAAAATTCAACAAATTTAATATTTTATTTGTTAATTTTATCCATAAACTAATGTATTGTTACATTATTTAATGATTATTAAGATTAAAACCAGAATTTAATAAAAAACAGACCTTATAGTTTTTTATACAAAGCTATTTATCGAGTACTTTATACAATAATTGATGATAAAATATTGCCAAATATTTAAAATTTTATTAAAATTATGTTTTTTGAATTTACATGTCCAACAATGTAAAATCACAAAATTAAGACTAATGTGATGATCGTGTGATGCAGTAAAGATTACGACGGCTATCGTAGAGCCCTGCTAATAATCTGGTACATTATGTACTTGAGTTATATTAAAGTCTAAGAGCTCCTATTATGTGTCAATACTTTTAAGATAATAATCGGACACTTCATCCACATATTTATTTTACGGCTTTCATGAATAAATCGGTGGTTAAATTGTCCCACATTTGTATTTAATCTAATATTGTAATTTAATTGCTAGTATAAATATTTTGCATAATTTTATTTTATAAACTTCTTATGTAAATTTATACTGTAAAAATAATTACATACTTAAGTGAATTTCTGTATTAAGTATAAGTAATTTCTGAAACATACTAAAATATTAATGATTTCTTAAGTTATTATTATAATTTTTGTAATTATTTATCAAAAATAATTGCTCCAAATGCCATCACAAGTATTTTTATAAGGATTGTCCAAAACAAGTGACATATCGTTGGGATTCAAGTCTTTCACTTTTGGCACTGAATTCGCGTCCGAAATGTCTATTAGTTTCGGCCAAACATTGTGTGGTTTTCTATATGTGACAAAATCATGAATAAATTATTTGTAATTATAAACATAAAATTAATTTTATATTTATATTGAATAAAGTGTTTTATTTAACAATTCTGACCCATTTTTGGCAAAATCAGTTAACATCTTCATAATCTCAATACTGAAATCATAATCAGTTTCTGTGAACATCTTTTGGGAAACAAGTGGTGACCCAAACACATAAGGGATGTCTGCGCCGTGACATATGGTATCACCTGAACATATTGTGAAACCCATATCCGCATAGAAATTACTCTGGTAAGTCAATCTATAAAAATAGACATTTTGTCCACTTTTGGCAAATTGTTTGGCGAAGTGATAGGTCGCACACGTGAACACCAAATCCCCATAGAGTGCACTCAACGCTCCCTTCAATTGGGACTCATTTGTTGAAATCTATAAAAATAGACATTTTGTCCACTTTTGGCAAATTGTTTGGCGAAGTGATAGGTCGCACACGTGAACACCAAATCCCCATAGAGTGCACTCAACGCTCCCTTCAATTGGGACTCATTTGTTGTGTCAATACTTTTGAGATAATAATCGGACACTTCCTCCACATCTATATTACGGTATTCATCGTTCAATTTGTTCACAATATTTTTGAATGTCTCGACTGTTAGTCCCGGTGCTCTCATTTCGGGAAAAAGCATCACTGCTAAGAGTGGTCCCTCATCTTTAGTCACTCCAACCATTAATTCAATTTCTAAATGAAATTATTTTATTGTCAAACAATTACCATAATAATGATAATAATATAAATTCTTACCAAAATTAAATAGGCCTGTATTAAATGCTTTTTGTGGTAATACGGGTAGAAATTGAGTGCCAAACACTGCGTGAGTGAATTCAATCATATTTCCATTTTCTGGATATTCTATGAAAAGGTTCGGGTTATCAATGGCTCGCAAACAGTCCAACCATTTGTAGTCATATTCATCACAATTAAGATTTTTTGCCAAATTCTTAGCCTTTTGGAGGCCCTCAACAGTACTGAGCGCCGGTCTGTCCTTATTATACAAAACGGATCCGCTTTGCATAACAGCCCTCTTAAACAGACCCTTTGATAGGGGAGACAATACATGTGCCGATACGGCCCAACTGCCACCACTGCAACCAAATATAGTAATTTCATCCTTANGCGCCGGTCTGTCCTTATTATACAAAACGGATCCGCTTTGCATAACAGCCCTCTTAAACAGACCCTTTGATAGGGGAGACAATACATGTGCCGATACGGCCCAACTGCCACCACTGCAACCAAATATAGTAATTTCATCCTTATCTCCACCAAACAAATGTATATTTTCTCGAACCTGTATTTAATTTTATGTAAAATTTTTTAAACAAAATTAAACTTCAAATTCATAAAAAATAATACCCATTTCATTCCTAACAACTGGTCATAAAAGCCCACATTTCCAGGACTGGTATCATCGCCACCGTATAGGAAACCTAAGGGTCCGAGTCTATAGTTAACGGAAACAATGACCACATCATTGGTGGCCAAAACGCTCCCGTTATAATGCTCTTGAAATATAGATCCCATACTGAGTGCCCCCCCGTGGATGTAATACATCACAGGTTTTAACTGCTGTTCTTTTGGGTCATTATTATTGTCTACATTTGGTGTCCATATATTGAGTGCTAAACAGTCTTCACTCGTCTTTATTTCACTCATCGGTCCAAACATTTTTGTATTTTGAATGCAATAATTACCGATTTTTGTGCCATCAATCATATCCTATAATTCATCGTAAATTAACATTAATTTATAATAAGAATACAAGAAAATAATAAATAGTTTACTTGTTTAGGTGTTTTGAGTGGTTGTGGTGGACTGAACCTGAGTGGCCCCACCGGGGGCTCAGCATAAGGTATATTCAAGAATTGATTGATTTTGTGATTCACAACATTCAGTGTCTGTCCCCTAGTGGGCCCACCGGGGGCTCAGCATAAGGTATATTCAAGAATTGATTGATTTTGTGATTCACAACATTCAGTGTCTGTCCCCTCACTCCACCCGAACTCGTATTCACGACAACACTATTACTCTCATCACAAACACACCGTTCACTTAAATACACGATTAACAGTAATATAAAGTTTGATTTATTCGTAAGAAGCATATTTGAAAATAATTATTTAATTATAAGAATATAATTATATTACAAAATTAAAATTGATATGCTTATTTTTATATGAAAATAAGTTTGCAAAGAATTATATGAAAAACAAGAATTTTATACCTTTTCCTTATATACTACATGACATTAACATAGAGTGAAATGTCCGGAATGCACTTACTATTCAATTATCAATACTGTAAATCTCCACATAATTTACAGTAGGGTCCGAGTCTATAGTTAACGGAAACAATGACCACATCATTGGTGGCCAAAACACTCCCGTTATAATGCTCTTGAAATATAGATCCCATACTAAGTGCCCCCCCGTGGATGTAATACATCACAGGTTTTAACTGCTGTTCTTTTGGGTCATTATTATTATCTACATTTGGTGTCCATATATTGAGTGCTAAACAGTCTTCACTCGTCTTTATTTCACTCATCGGTCCAAACATTTTTGTATTTTGAATGCAATAATTACCGAGTTTTGTGCCATCAATCATATCCTATAATTCATTGTAAATTAACATTAATTTTTAATAAGAATACAAGAAAATAAAAAATAGTTTACTTGTTTAGGTGTCTGGAGTGGTTGTGGTGGACTGAACCTGAGTGGGCCCACCGGGGGCTCAGCATAAGGTATATTCAAGAATTGATTGATTTTGTGATTCACAACATTCAGTGTCTGTCCCCTCACTCCACCCGAACTCGTAT